GTACGAGCGGACCACAGAATGTTATTAAATTCGATATTGACTTGAGTAGTTTTGAAAATCTAGATTGAAAATTCAATTAGTATTGTTCCGTCACAGTCTTCATTTTATGTTTATTATGTTATTCCATTAGAGTCTTTATTTCATTTATTGATTTCATTGTTTTCATATATATGTATTATCACTTTGTAAATAGTAACTATACACATGCATAAAACTTTTTTATATTTATTGTGAAAACAGTCCAAAAATTAAATGGCGCATTTAATCCCACTATCTGATCCAAACCTCTCCCTACAAGGGAGGTATAGGCTAAATAACTAGTTTTAGAATTATTATATTTTGAAAGATTCCTTTGGAATAATAAAATGAAATCATGATGGAACATCGATGATAAGACCTTACTAATTATAATTCTTCAGATTTAATGTGTGCTTCTCTTTCAGTTTAATCACAACTACAAATTAATTAAAAACTAATCCAAACCTACCCACTCTCCCTTACGTGTTTAGTGCATGTTCCGCTTCCAATCGCGGTTTTGTGGAACGATATCCTGTGCTTTTGGTAAACATGGGATAATTTTCAAAAAATTTGTTTGTTTCCCGTTTGGAATCGGGACCATTTTTCGGAAACGACTTCGTACACTCTGTGTTCTTACTTTTGTGCTGACACTCGAGAATGCGTTCGGTCAGCAATTGGCGCACAGCTTTCTCCCTCGTGTTATCATCGATTTAAGTCGGTCAGCCTTTTTTTGTTTGACCCAACAGAGAATGCGAAGTCAGCGTCTTTTCCGTCTTTTTTTTCTTGTTTCGATTGTTTCCGTATCCTTTGTCGGGGATTTTTCTAGACCAGTGGTTTTCGTTTAAAACACACACTAATTTTCATTCGAATTATGTATTCATTTCTAGTCGCGAAAACTTCTTCTCTCATGGAAACGAATCATTTCGTCCACTTGTCGTGAAACCACTATATATCTCTATAGTCTCAGGTAATTTTGCTCAAATAAAAGCTCAATTTTAATTTTATTTTAAACAATAAAATAGATTCGACGGCGTCGATTTTTGTTCTAAACAACAATTCACTGAGTTACAATGACATCGACACGTTACATATTAACACAATTGTTTATTGTTTTTCCAAAACTATGGAAATCTATATCATCTGCAGAAAATCCATGAAAACTTTCGCCCTGATCCAATACTTCTGCGACTTCGTTATACGTTTTCGAAATATGAAATATTATTTGTATCAAGCAAATTCAGAGCTTCCTTTATAATTATAAAAATATTTTTCGTTTTCAGATATGGAAACCTTTCGGTTGATTATCGACTTATTAAAATTGAAACATTCGATTTATTAGATAGTGAGAATGGTCAAAACCGAAACTGCATAGGAAACGCAAGATCTATGCGTTCCGTAATGATACAGAAAGTACACTGGAACGGTCGCGAAAAGTTCACTAACCTTAAGTCATTGCACCTTGCAATTTTCCGCGTCAACGGTGAATAGCCAGACCAGACGATTGCAAATCTGGGATTATCCCAGTGACTTGACGTCAGCCAAGTCCATCATCATGGGCACAATTTTATACGCAAAACGTTGAAGTACCGTTTTCTTCCTTGGATGATCCTTTCCTGCAAAATCGAAGAGCATCTGGTAGCATTGTTAGATATGATTTCATTCTTAAAGGTGCAAATTCAGTGACAATAATCACTTCATGCACTGACAAATTCAGTGACAATAAACTTCATGCACTGTTCAAATCAATTTCGCCCAAACTCAAGCTTCAATTTTTAGTTATATTCCTTATCACCGAAACTTTTAACTTAATTTGACACCAGTACTTTTGCATACATAACGATTAAACGATATGTAAGTGTATTTTCTGAATTCGACTTTCAGCTTAGAACAAGTTTAATTCTAGGAATAGTAATGCAAGAATATATTGAACAGTGCAGGAAGGTTAAAGTCAAGTAATTTACGTTATGTCTTTTTATAATTCTTATTACGTATGTTATTGATTTATAAGAATTCATTATCTTTCATGTAATTCTTACGTTTGATTTCAATAATTGTTGTGAACCCCAATGCGTCTCGTAATAATTACTGAGGCAGTAATTCCACTCGGTTAAAATTTTACAGGATCGTAACAAGTCGTGAAACAGATTCCACGTCACACTCCGTTACACGTTTTATGAGCTCGGAATTGAAACACTTTCCTGCACGTTTTCAAGACATCCCACGGGAAAAAATCAATTATTCGTTACGGCCTGGAAGGGTACGACTTGAAGCCCTTTAATTCCGAAACCCCTCGTTATCCTTAAGATTTCCCGAGCGATACACCAACGAGCAATAACGTCGGAAAGATCAGCGAAAGGAGTTAAATGAATCGACGACAAGGAAAACGATTGTAGCGTGTTACGAGGAACTTCGTCGTAGTGGAATCTATGGTCAAGCCATTAAATGTCCTGAATGACCATCATGTGGAAACGACACTAACTCGTAAAAAGTAACAAAACAAATATTTTCTTCATACTTCTAAATAAAATGAATATTATTTATAATTAACGAATAAGATGTTTATTATTTGTGAAGTAATTCATATATTTCGCTTGATCACGATAATGAAATTTACCGAACTTCCAGCTGTTGTACGGGCTAGTTGGAAAGGAAAAGATTTTGATGCTCACGAAATTTACTGCACCATTTATACACGTATGGCCTAGAAAAAACAAATGTCCGATATCCGGCATGGTTTAAGAAAGAAAAAAGTTGTTACGAATATCGAGTAGCAGCCTTAAAACATTTGTATAAAGTCAAAATACATGACTATGCGTGAAAAAAGAATGAAGAAGAGAAATGTGTCAAGAAGTCATGCAAAAGGCAAAAATGGAAAACCTTGTTGCACCAATAAAAATTGTGCATTTGAAGACATCTCTAGAAAACTAAAAAAATACGAAAATATCAACAATTCCTGCCAAAGTTTTTTGCTCAAGAACAGGATGCTCCAATAAAAAAGAGGAGAATATAATTATGTAATATAAATAGTAATTGGTAAACTTAGTTAAAATTGCGCTAAAACAAATTTGAAATTCACTTTAGCGCGAAATTTAAATTTAGGAAAGCGCGGGAAAATAGCAAAATCAGGGATTTACTAAAATGACAGTAGCCGCCTGGTAGAGGAAATTGGAACTAAATCCAAACCATCTTGGTCTAATTCCCAAAGCAGCCACTAGATGGTGCCACGTGGCATTTGTCCGTTTCCCGCGCTTTTGATAAAGGTACTAGAATTAGTTCCAGTTTCCGTCACCAAGTGGTTACCATTATTTTAGCCATATGACAGTAACAAAGTAGCGCCATTTCACGATAAGGACGTGTACTAATTGATTAATAAGTTGCACATGTTACTGTAGATGGCACGAAAGTCTACTATACCTTGCAAATTTGCATATTCCATTATTTCAATAATATTGATTTCTCCGCAACATTCATAATTATTACAAATGTCAATATAACGAAATATCTTTTATGCGATGTTTGTGGTGTAATAAAAATCTGTGTTTCGATTACGTTTTTGATACGTATTACTCACTTACATGTAATAATATAGAATAAAAATATACTGTTAGTCCGATATTTGAAAATATACATGCGTTCGTTGTCACTGTTAAACTGTTGTAATAACAATGGAAGAATAAAATAATTTACTTAAATGTACATAATAATACATATACATATTCATAAAAACAATATTAAACGCAATAACTTTTGTGTACGCGAAAAAAAACCAATTAGGGTCCGTCGGGACTAGAACGCAAGAACTCCTTTCTAATACGTCTACTATACAGCGAACGGACGGGAGTGAATCCGTTCACGACCATGGTCCCTTCGATGATTTTCTGTAGAAGTTAAACTAGTTGAGCTCGAATAGATTTAACGTAGTTCACAAATTCGCCGTTCTCATAACGTAGAGGGCAGCAGAAAATCCCTGACTTTTTACACTATCGGTATTTCAGAACATGAGACACGAAGTACCATACGATGATAGGTCTATCCTATACCTAGTCGGTGATGCATATTTCAAATGGTGACTCGATTGTTCACGAATGGAAAACTACTTTTTATAAGTAACAGGTGGTGTACAATTCTTACGTGACATATTCCTTATGAATAAAATCAAAGCAGTACCAATTTTTATAATAATATATTTTAGACATAGTCATTCCGGTTTTCATTTAGAACTTTTTGAAATAATCTTCTTACGAGGCAACATTCGTAATTACTGTACCTTTTGGATTCAAAATATAACTATATAATGAAGTTCTACATTTTACCATGATAGTGCATTGACTTCAGCTGCTTCAGCTACAAAAACTGCCTTTGTGTTCATGACGGTCATGACAACACACTGCACAACCTTCGTTCTGGTTTGTTCATCAAAAAGAGGACGCAGTAGGACCAGTACAACGCAGTTATATGTATATACGTGTCATTTTATTTGTTCGATTGTTTCGAACGAACAAACAGAAATAGTTTCTCAAAAATGTGTATGCTATACAAGCATTCAATCTCTTCATTTTATGTACTTACACAAAACGTAAATAAATAAAGTAATGTAAGCACATTCGAGATACACAATTTCAAGAAAATCTACATTGAATTGGCCCGCACTCTGTGGTGAACGGCATGCAGCCAGAAGGGTATATATTTCTTAGAATATACTGTGACTCCGAGTAAAAAGATTGTATCTACAAATGTAAAACTGTCTAATGTAAATTAGAATCTATGATTGTAAAATTTATCATAGCTATACATTCATTTTAAAGTATGTAAAGAGTACAAAAAGATTTTGTCAGTTTTCTATTTGCACGCAAGTTGGCGAACGTATCGCTGGGTGGATTGTCACTCTCTCATTCGAATGCAGTTCTGCCTATGTGATTCATCTTGGGCACATTGAGCCGTCAGGGGACGCCATGTTTATACTGTAGGTGGTGTGGCGCGGGTATACGTGTGTCCATTATTTTCAAGTAATAACGTTTAATTATTTATTTACATGATATAACGCTATACAAAAGTGTTCTGTGCGTGAAGTGTATTGCGATTAATGCCGTGGGGGATCGGTTCTCGTTGGCGGTACACACGATAATCGTATAGACGCGAACAATCTATGACTTACAGACCTTCGTTTCACGGAGTTCTTTTGCTACCTCATAAATTGTTTACAAGTTGTTCACGCTGCTTTACGGTTAAGCAGAGCCTTCAGAACGTGCTATTTGCGCTAGGAGTACAATTTCCTTTTCAGGAATCGTCCGCGACCTTTGGATGGACGTAATGCATCCTTCTTAGAAGCATTTGCGCGTTTTATAACCTGACAACACGTTCGAAGTTTCACTAACTTTATCATGTCATTGCATCTTTGACAAAATATTAAGTGGTAAGGATTCAACAGCACCGTGACGGCCACACTTTTACCTGTTTTCTATCACGTGTGCATGTTACACGATAAAATCATTTCTAAGAATGCCGTATATTTTGTAAAATATCAGATATCATTATGAAATAAATGTACCATTTTTATTTTTTATCTTTCCTGTTTATACTCTACTTGTTTCCATGATATAGTAACACTTGTATGCTCTACTTAAACCTTTTTTTTCTTACACATGTTGCTGTTGTATTGTGTTTTGCTGTAGCTTATTATATAGTATGTATATACGGAAAGTTTTATATATAGCAACTATGTGGAATAAAAAAACTTTATTTGCATAAAAATGTGTTTAATGTATTATACTTATGATTTTGTTTATATATATATTACACATTACTTTAAAAAAAATCTACCAATGTTAGATACAGTAGCAGTATTTTATTATATTGTATATTAGCTATGATATGTTAAACATTATTGTTAACATTATTTTATTTCATTAAAATATGTTGTTATAATGTATTTGAACCCAATATGCTTTTATCTATTCAATTACTTTTGTTGTTTAGTTGGTAATTGTACATGTTACAATATAGTTAACTGTTTGCATAATCTAATAGCCAAAGTCTTTACCCTTTCAATGTTCTCTTACATTATCATTTTAAGATGATCATAGCAAAGTGTAATAGGTTCTTATATTTTAGATCTAGAACAGGATTAATGAACTTCAAAATGTGGTCATCACAAGGTACTAATTCAAACACAAAATCTTCAAATGAGGGTAATCTACGCACGTTGGGTATGACATCTGCTATTAGTGTAGCAGCACCAAAGCCCAGCGATCTCACTAGAACGAATGAATTAAAAGAGACATTAAAGCCTTATAATGTGTTTGAATCGGAAGAAGAGTTGAATCACAGAATGGAAATTTTAAGGTACTTCGTTTATAGTGTTCTATAGTACAATTTATGTAATAAATAACATAGCAACTTGACATTAATTATCATATTCCAACCAGTAAATTAAATGCTCTGGTGAAGCAATGGATAAGGGACACAAGTATCGCCAGAAATATGCCACCCAATGTTGCTGAAAAAGTTGGCGGTAAAATATATACTTTCGGTTCATATAGGTTAGGGGTACATCACAAGGGTGCTGATATTGATGCCCTATGTGTTGTACCGCGTCACATCTATAGGTCGGATTATTTTTCATCCTTCTTTGAGTTACTGAAAATGCAAGAAGAAGTTACAGATTTAAGGGTATGTAATTTAATTATCTTTTATACTACTAATAATTATTTCTTTAATATGATTTTCTTTCCAAATAGCATGTACACAGTAAGTATAACAAATTGTACATAGATTAATCACTAGTTGACAGAAGGTGTAAGATTCTACGTGAATATATAATTCATGAGTCTTATGTAAAATATCTGTTAATTTCAATAAGCAATTTCATAGTTAATGTTATGTTCTTTGATATCTTTCAGGCAGTGGAAGAGGCATTTGTACCAGTTATAAAAATGAACTTTGATGGTATAGAAATTGATATGTTATTTGCGAAATTAGCTCTTAAAGAAATTCCTGATTCTATGGTTGGTGAACTATTTGCAGATAATTTGTATATATTTTTAATCTGAGTGCCATGTGCATAGTTAAGAAAAATTTTGTTCTTACATACAGGATCTTAAGGACGATATGCTTCTGAAAAATCTTGATCAGAAATGTGTCAGAAGTCTTAATGGTTGCAGAGTAACAGACGAGATACTGCGTTTAGTACCTAATATAGAAAATTTTAGGTTGGCACTTAGAGCTATTAAATTGTGGGCAAAACGTAAGATTGTGCTTCAATTTTTTTTTCTATGTTTAGTGAAGCAGAATATATAGTCCCCTCAAAACTGATTTCATATTTTCTATTTTCAGGACATGGCATATATAGTAATGTACTGGGATATCTAGGAGGTGTATCTTGGGCAATGTTGGTCGCAAGAACATGCCAACTTTATCCAAATGCGGTTGCAGCAACATTAATAGAAAAATTTTTTCTTGTATTTTCTCAGTGGAAGTGGCCACAGCCAGTCCTTTTAAAACCACCAGACAATGTCAATTTAGGCTTTCCAGTTTGGGATCCAAGAGTAAGAACTTTTTATCACATGCATCCACCTTTAATTGTTTCATAGCAATAGAAACTTTTTACACTAAGATATTTTCTCTTGCAAAGGTAAATATATCGGACAGATATCATTTGATGCCAATCATTACACCTGCATACCCCCAACAAAATTCAACTTTTAACGTATCAGTTTCAACAAGAACTATCATGCAAGAAGCATTCGAAACAGGATTATCAATAACAGAAGAGATTATCATGGGAAAGGCAACATGGGATAAGTTATTTGAACCTCCAAATTTCTTTGGAAAATACAAGCATTACATTGTATTACTAGCTAGAAGTCAAACTGCAGAAGATCAACTTGAATGGTGTGGGCTAGTCGAATCAAAAATACGTCACTTGATAGGTAAAATATTGAATATGACAATAAATACTATTCTGTTCAACTTTATTACTATGTTTAAATTCGTGTATATGAATGCAGTATATGAGAAATATTATTCTACCTTACATGCAAGATGTTATATAAAAACACGAATCCAGCTAAAACATGGTATTGAAAGACAGCAACAGTGCATTTTTTGTTGGTCATAATTCATATGACATCTTGTAGATTTATCAATTGTGTGAAAATTTGTAAGAACTGTCACTAATGAAACATCACCTGGTCTTAATATTAGCATTATCACATTGTGTATTGTACGTTCCAGTTAAACGACTTAGATTAAAACAGGCGATTTTTTAAGCGATATGTCACCTTTAAAAACAAAATTATTCTTAGGTCTTTCAATAAATGTATCTTTCGCAGGAGTAAGCAGAAGTTATAAATCAGTGAATTGTAAAACCATCTGTCTTAATCTGTGTCTTCTGTAATCATCAAATTTGAATTTGATATGTCCATTTGTTGATATTTGCAATGCTAATAATCCGCGGGTGCCAAAATGGCAAAATCCTAACTCTTAAAAACAGGTACACTGGAAAGGAATCCACATATAACATTGGCACATGTAAACCCAGAGGCATTTCCACCGTTAGAACCAGAACCGGAAGGGCACTGTTCCATGTGGTTCATCGGCTTACTATTTGCCAAAAGCGAAAACTTAAATATTGATCTGACTTATGACATAAGATCCTTTGTGGATTCAAGTAAGAACAATTCAATACAGATTTTGAAACAAAAAGAATTGCGCTGTTTTTGAATAATCTGAATAATTATCTCCATTTAAAATTTCAGTCCAGAGGCAAGCAGAACAATTAAGTATGTTGAAGGAAGGGATGTGGATAGAAGCCAAACACGTAAAGAAGAAGGATCTACATAACTACGTTTTGCCTAGTTTGATCAAACGAGAAAGAAAGGTATAACAACGGACCTTACTTTCTTGCAATTAAAATATTTTTGGTATCATACATAATGTCAAAATGAAAACTGACTACATATTTCGTCTAACAGGTATCTAGCAGTGTACATAAAAATGGAAACATTGCTGGTAACGGAAACACTGGCAGTATCTCACCACGAAACCCAGGAGATGCAGCGAATAGGAAGAGATTATCGGATCAGAATCCGGAGACGTGCGCCAAGAAACGAAGGGTCGCCGATGGCGAACAAGTTACACAGGTACTTGTCAAAGAAAATATAATCGCGAATGCTCGAGATGCAAGCATTCGAGATAAACGTAACCGAAAAATATCGATATCTACTCAGGGTGAAGATGGATCGCTAGTGGTTCAATCTTGTGGAGAAGACAGCAATTCCGGATTTAGCTTGGATGAATACAAACAAACATTGACAACTACTAAGGATGTAAGACATTGTACATATAATGAACAGTAAACAGCATAGAACAGATTAGGTAACTACATACAAAAATAGAGCATAGTAACTGAATTTAGGGTTTATGAGAGAGGACATTATTTTGTAACGTAAATCTGAATGATTAGGAGGTAAGAAGCAGGGAGTATTGTGTAGGGTTTACAATGTTTCGCTTTTTTCCCTTGCAGTTTATTGTGTATCTGACTGGATTGATTTGTTTACGGATAATGATAACCTCGGGGGGTCGTTTGAAATGTTCCAGGATGGGCCTACTGGTGCATCTACGGTAGCGCAGGAAGGATACGTTTGCACTTGACCACTGCAGGATTACTACCTCACGTCGATCCACAGATGCTCTTCTGGGCCATCCAGACTGTAATCAAATCTCATGCAAGCATCCACTGCCCACCGTAAGTCCCCCGTTTCGTAAAACACAAAGCAACGTGATGCGTTGGAGAGAGCTACCCGTTGGAATCAATCGGTGCACGACTGTGTGACAGACGCTCTAATTTTAATATTTCTAAATAACATCAACAGTCAATGGGAACAATTACGCCACGAATTAATGATTGTGCCAGTGTCTGTGATGTTACTTTTTATTGTGAGCCGCACAGCAGAAAACTGGGAATTCTTAACGGAATGATTAGAAGTAGTACGGCACTTAAAAATCCATCATTATCTGTAAGGTTAATAATTTTATTTTTATATTTCCTTTTGTACATATCGCTTATATAATAATTTTTATTCACGAAATTATGGAAAAAGAAACTAAAAGAGAAAGAGAGAGAGTGGAGCACGATGACGTGTTCCGAGAAGACATTTCGTGTCATCGTGCTAACACGTGAATGTAGGCAATGATATTTTAATTAGAAGCTTGTATTAGAATTTTCATCTAAAAGAAACAAAAAAAAAGGGAGAAAAAAATGATAACAAGGTTTCAGTGGTTACGAAGATGAAACGTATTCTTGTAAAAAAAATCTAATTTCTTTAATGCATAACTAGATAAAGTATAAAAAAAGTGGATAGGTATGTTTAAGTTGTAAATAATTCGTGTTCTTCGTTACTCGCGTGTCGGTGTAAATTACATGAAACGGTTGGTCTTCGAATTTTTTGAAGAAACTGTGTAATCGTAACTTGGTAATACGTTTTACTTGCTTCAGTTATTTACAGCATATATTTATAACATTACGTAATATTATTTATACTGTCTCTGCTAAACGAATTATTTGAATAACGATTAAATTAAAATGGAGCTCGGTTCCAATTGCATATGATATTCTTACACTTAAGGTACGTTTTTTTCTTCTTCTTTTAGTTTTGTATCGTATCCGTCACCAGTCGGTTAATGAACGAAAATCACCGGCACTGGCATAAGAGATTCAATGTTTCATTTACAGAACAATAAAAACCAAGCGACGTGAAATAACGTGGATTCGCTTGACCGAACATTTAGTGAAATGTATCCGTTCTGTAAATGAAACATCACCGAATAAGCCATTGACTATCTTTGTTGACGAACGTGTTACGTAAATTGAGTTATCGTATTGCAGTCGTATTTTAGTTTTTATTCACAGAAACGAACGTTATAGCTTTAACGATGCAACAAGGGACTGGCATCCGGATTATTCAAACCATCTGTATCACCTGTTGGTGAGTGATTTCAGGTGTTCGACTGCCTTCAGTCCCATTTCAGTTATTACAGTAACTCCGCCGTAATATACCCGATTCCTGCTTTTGCCGTACCGGTCCTTCTCCTACCTTTGAATTACCTTTTGTGTTAAAGGCATGTCGGTCCATCGAATGTCTCGAGGTATTTGATGTTCACTTTTTAATACAGTTACTGAAGCAAGTGATACACGATGTTCAAGTGGTTCTTGCCTCTCATAACCACGCGATATATGGTTCGAACTCAAATGTATTACAAATAAACGCGACTTTGTATATGTACAAAGCATTGAAATCCGTACATATATACATACACGAAAAGCATATACACAATAAATTGTATAGTTTTCTCTCCTTTATACCACGAAATCATGAGTCCCGTGTGTATGTCGCCTATTATGATGAACGTATACGATTAAAAAAAGTATTCGTGTTACAAATTTGAATCTTGGCACCGGAACGAGTTATTTATGTTCATTACAACACTCCCCGAATAGTGTAGTTAACTTTTTTCAATGGCTAGAAGACAATTTTCTTCCGTTGTACATATTTGTCGTAATTTTGGGTCATTAGTTTCTTTTGTTTTTCAACTTTCATTTGTTATTAATATCGATCTAGTAATTTTCTCTTGGCATTTACTGCAACGAATACATAATGCACTATACAATCAAGGATCAGGGTCCGGCAGTAAATAATTCATTTGCATTACGATTTAGGGTCCCATTCGAATTAGAATAACATTCATTTAGAATAACGAATTTCTTACGCAACATCTACTCAGGACTGAATATGCTTCGAGAATATTAATTTATTCTATGCTTTTGTGACAGTAATATTCAACAATTATGTAGTTTATTAATTAATATTTAGATTGTATGCCTTACGTACACATAATCCGTTCTTGCAGGAAAGTTTAATTCAACCATTCAATTATATAATAAATTTCATTTGAAAATTGAATCTAGTATAATATTTTGATTTACAAGAATAAAAAGCAAACCATCTATCGTGCAATACGCAATATTTCAATAGATCGTGCTCGAATGAGTTTTGCGTTGTAAACAATTCAATTGGCAAAGGAAAAATTACGATTATGGAAGAACATTTTATTTGATTTATTCCATAAGCAATATTTTACAATTAGGATAGAACTGTACGAATCGCTGAGCTGTCTGTGAGGAATTTCTTAATTTCAATATCTTAATTTCTTTTTTTTTTTTTCAGTTTTTGAATTTATATCAAAAGCTTTGTAAATCATATGTGCACACCATTTTCTTTACAATTATTCGATTACTGTTAATTTTCTCGCTAATATTAATATTATTACTAATATTGTAATTATCAACTGTATACTTTCCTATGATTTACTCATTGTTATAATTATAATAATAACCACTGTTGCCGTTAATATTACACTCATTTTGATTTTCCAACGTCGAAGTATCACACGAAAGAAATCAAATATTAAATCCAATCATCGAAGAAGAATACAGTCCGAAGAATACGTGGAGGTTGATGCACACGCACATATATAGACCAATAAACAAGTGAACATCAACATTATCCTCGCATATAAAATACCACGTTCTTTCATTAATTAACGGAAGAAATTGACCTGAAAATAAAACAAAAAAAGAATAGAAAATGGGATCGTGCACTCGAACTACGTACCTACTCGTTGTTCACGTAACATCCGGCAGACATGTCTATAGCACAGTTTTTTTTCCCCCTTGATCCATCCTCGGGAACGTCGCACCGTTTCTTTCGTCGGTACGACGTTCTCGAGGCCGTCGAAGATAGAAAAAGTAAAAACTACATAATAACAACAAACGAAACGGTGAACATCGGTCCGTGACACACCCTCTTGTATAATAAATAAGACAAAAACAAAACACGAGAGAAGATACGAAACATTAAGCGAACGCCAAGTATGCAAACGGAACAAAAAAACTGAAAAACACGTAGAGAAAGAAAAAAAAGTGCTGAAGGCAATGCTGAATATCTTTAGAGAGACAAGTGTTTTCTCGCAAGAGTATAGAGTTCCGGAGTTCTCGTACGTTCCCCGAGATTTCGAGCTCGAAAAATCGATCGGCTGTCGATCGGTGTCGATCGTCTAGGATTCGGACGTTGTTCTGTATTATATCTATGAGAATTACCCTGACACGAACGACACCGATGAACTGTGTAACACTCTTCCATATCCATTGGTTGAACACACGCATCCATACACACACCGTATATTCGTACACCCATTGAGGCCCATGATTTTATATTGGAACACGTGGAAGTAACACGAATACATCCGAGGTTGCGTCTTTAACATGTGAACGTGAATCATTTGTCTGAATGAAGCAAGAAATATAAAAAGGCATCGAATACATTACCATGTGTTTAATGTGCTTTGTACAGCGTACGTGTGTCGCGATACACCGGACGGTCCTGTGGCGCGTACGATGGCATGGACTGAATTTTTTTTTAGATACAGTTGTAACCCCTGTATAACACAGTGGTTCAGATTCCTAAAAAATGTCCGTGTTGTACGAAACTGAGAACTGGTACAGTGATTCCTCGATGAATACGACACGAACAACGGTGTTATTCCCACCACTGGGGGGCTCCTCTTCTGGAACCAATCAAAAATAAGCAGAGGCTCGACTTCTTGCAAGAAAAAAAAATAAATTTATGAGGGGCTGAAAACCTTTCCGTCTTGCCACGAATGCTTCGAAGCGAACTCGAGTTCGTCGCACTCATCGAAACATTACTGTATATACAACACACTACCGCTGATAAATATATGGACACACTTGGTCTGGTATGAAGAAAATGTGATATTTCAGTAAAACTTATACATTTTAGGCCACGTTTATTAACTTCATGGTAACGTAAGCCTTATCCATCGAGCTGTAATATCTCCTAAACAATATTTATGTCAGACTTTCAGAAATTTCGCAATGCCTTGTAACATTTACTGCATATTTGATACGAGTCCTAGTACTTCTGAGCGGGAGTGTACATACAAAAACAGGGTTAGATTCTAGAAAGTAACAAAACTACAGAATTCTTTAACCGTGTTATTCGAGGGATTTCCTCAATTCTCTAACCACGGTATACGGATGTTGCCTGTACGGATATGTTACGCTTACCATAAACAAATCATTTCTAATATGGAAAAATTGTTTCAGATCTGTCAGAGCAGCAATCTCTCAATATATCATTTAAAAGAAAATAATGAGTTGATTTATTTGTTAGATTTGAAGATAATTTGTGATCCCTCTCATTGAATTAGGAATATTTACCATTTCTTAACACGCAGCATTACCATTTAAAGAAATTACCATTTCTTCGAAGAGCTGTATATACTGTCTACAGCTGACAAAAATCATGCGAGCAAAGTCCTAAATCTTACGATACTGATATCTCTTCAAGACCGATTTAAAAAAAATTCATTCCATACCATCGTGCACTGATAATATTCATTTTCTCACGGTTGTACACACACATTGCCGTGTACTGCCTCGTTCGACAAACACTTAAGTTTAACCTTCGGACGACGATGACTGAGATCATTTTGAGTCGAATTTTCAAGAACTTTGTTCAACTCCAACAGCTTCCAATAACTAATTTATGTTTGTAGTTGTTTATATTAATTGGAACGAAAAGAAAGCCAATTGAAAAGTGAAATCTGTTTAAACATGCATTTAGAAGGAATGATGCATGGGGATCCAAACGGGGGCCTATTTACGTTTCGCTGTTTGCATTACCTACCATCAGAGTCATTTACCTGCCGAGGGTTAAAGATCGACGTGTTTTTATGGCATCGATGAAATCCAGCAAATCTTACATTGTTATCGAGGTTTGTGGCTATTGGATATAAGTATATTTGCTTTTACATCAGGGACAGGATCACGTCGCGATTGTGTGTATCGCGAGGACCGTAACGCGCGTTAGCTGTTAACTCCATTCGTGGGATCGAGGTCGTTGTAAAAGAGATAAAATGGCGGCAGAGTCCAGCGTGCTTCGACGTTGCAATAGGGGAAGGGAGGGGCGGTTATTCACCGAGAAGCACGAAACTCTAATGCATAATTTGTATCCCCGGCAGCTGTACACTCTGTATCTTTCTTGAATAAACCGAAATAAATTTTTCTTTTAATTCCTTCAGCCAAATGCACCCGATCGCTGGCGATAATCTGGCAGAATGGCGCATTGTTAAGGTGGTAGTGGATACGATACGACGGAATTTTAAAGTCTATGATAGAAAATCTTAGGGATATTATTGTTCATTCCCTTTAAGGTTAGATGTGAAAATAGAATAATACATAATCGTACCCAAAGTTGTTGACCTTTCTGAAATTTTACTTGATTTTTGCACTATTTATTTTATGTTGTTGCCTGAAAGAAAATAGATTAAGGAGAAGCCGATCAGATAACCAGTCAAGCTGTTGTTACTTTTTACTTGGTTATTCTTAAAGGGAATGAGCAATACATATTTAACACTAGAGAACTACCAAAGCAGTCAAAATTACTGGTTAGTATTAGAACGTCTTCCGAAAAGTTCGTGCTGTTTCGGATGTGGAGTATTTTCATTACTTTTTTTCATGAGTAATAAAACATCGTTTGATCTAGTTTTTTAAGTGTACTATTCAAATGCGTAAAATCTCTAGTGAATTAAACATTTTAAAGTCCCAAAAAAAAAACGTGTAACCACTATTGTTGTACACATGGAAACGGCACGAACTTTCTCCATTGCAATATGAAAATGGAGAAATTATTTAATTTATAAATTTGAATATTTTCCAAAGTTTGTCATGTTTATCGATCCGATAGAAATAGATATATGTTTGTCATCGGTAGTTCTAGTGTTCAGTGCTATATAACATATTCAGTGTTTGTATACACTGAAAGGAAACACCTGAGTTGAAACATGAATTTAGCGGTTGTAGCTGTTGTTTGTTTCATATGTAATGTTACAATAATTCCGAAAGGAGCAACAATTATTGCAGTAACGTGTAGCTCCATATGTCTATTATATTAAGTATACTCGGGATATGATGTGTTTTTAACGTTATTTATGGTGTCCGATTGTCGTATACCTTGACAATGTGTCATTCTGCTTTATCGTTGCCGGTTTTTGTTCTTATTTTGATCACCCTTCCCATTTCACATTTTATATTGTCATTACCTTGGAGGCTGAAATTATGTTTGTGAAATTGATTATAATTCAAATGTTACAGAATACAGAGATACAAAAAGAAAATTGTATTGTGCGTTAGTAATTTATGCTATACTTCGTAGTTCCATTTGTAATTTTTACAATAACTTAACAAATAACAATTAGAATCGTAACAATGTATTTACGTATTTAATGTGTATACCAAGGGACTATTAGCCTGTTAAATAATACTTTTCATTACAGATAGATATGCCATCGATGCTTTCATTATCTGAAATAAAGTATGTAGTTACAGTCGGAACATTATTCCTCGAAAAATTGAAATTTACGATTTCGTTATTGATGTTCAAGAGCACTCACCGTTCCGAATGTTTCTAACGAGAATACATAAAATTTTCCGGCGGTCAAGTACAATGGTTTTTGTGATCTAGCGATGCAAAACGTTAAAGAGCGAACGTACTCTTCTGGCAGATCGTACCACTTGGTATAGTAACAGGCGAATTGTATTTCACTACTCTGAAAATAATATGATACATCAATAAAATGACTGAAATAAAGTAATTAGTTTGTGTAACAGGGTAGTAAAGCATTCAAATGGCGAAAGTTTTACTGTATCTTTATATTGTCAAGAATGTGCATTATTAAAAAATGTTGTATTATAAGTTTAATTACCTCGGTAATTAGACACTCTCCCAGAAAACAGTAGCAAAATGCTAATAATACGACAGCGCAGGAATAAATGATAAAATGTATCGTGTTCACGTCACTTCCGTCAGATTCGCTCGTCTATAAAACCACGCAATATTTAAATTCCATTAACAATTACTCACTTTTTTTGAAAGCACTTGTAATTGTTCAGTGAATATTCTACGTTTGTAGCATATGCAAATGTACATACAACACGCAATAAAGTTTAATACTGTTTTTGATTTATATCGAACATAATACAAAATATAGGAAGTAAGTTTCTGTTTCATTCTTATTTTTTCAAATTTGTCAATTCTACGCAATTTATTAAAAATTAAGTTAAGTGCATCCGACCATTCTGACCAGACGAAATTAACTTTATTTAACCATTCTGAGGAGTTTATAGCGTTACCATAAGTAATTGGTAGACCACGATGCATAAAGAGAATATTAAACCCAATGTCTGGACAAACATAAGTGAACTGAATGTTTCTGCCAAGGTAGCTGCCAATCTATAATTAATTATATTGTTTCAAGACAAATAAATTAGATAACATTTCACTGTACTTTCGCCGCCATGTTGGCCAGTGGTAAGTTACCATTGGTAACCAAGATTGAGTGTTTCGTTCACACCGCAACATATTTAAAATATTCATAACAAAGAACAGCCTGCCCCTACATACCTATATTTAATATTGAATATGCAAAGTATGGCATCAATTATCAATACGGATTTTATACATTTATAGCCTCTATAAAATAGAATAAAAACAAAACTTTTATCAGATGTAACGAGTTTTCTATTTTATTCTGAATCCAACAAGGTACTTAAGAGGAGAAATAAATTCCTGCATTTGCTTTTGCCCTTATTAATTATTGGGTCGTTAGGATATTTCGTAGTGTTTCGAGCATAGTGTCTTCGTTACCTTTTTACTGGAGGAAAGCAAAACCGTTTGATCTGATAAACAGGTACTAATATTCCAGGTGTGAATTGAATGTATTTCTTCTACAAGTTACACGTTTTTTTTCTGTTTTCTGTTAGAAACACCGACGAAACGTATGAACAAGCACGAAGTCCAATTTCATTAAGTTCTACCAAACTTGCAAAAAAATACTTCGTCTAGGAAATTCCATAACTTTTACCCAATTAATAAAACTGATTATTCTTTCAGATCGCTGGAATATTCTAATATTTTGCATAAAAATCTGTAATTATCAACTACTGTTTTTGATAATTAATTATTGTATTATTAAAAACAACTGTGTCTGTGTACGTGTTTTTATATCACGTTGCTGAGACAGTTGAGCAAATCAAACATGGCGGCGAACGTGTTAAAAAAGATTAATAGTTTTTTAACGTCTCACCGCAAAAGCTCTGTGTGTCGTTCAACGAGCGCCCGCATCTTTGGTAAATATTTTTTCGGTTCCATATCGATATTTCGAATGCGTTGTGACAGAATCGAGAGTTGACTGCACAGGTAAAATGTTAGCGTCACCAGAAGACTATCCGCGCCGGTTGCCCCGATCGTTAGCATCAAACTCGTTGGTATCAAATAAACGCAGAATAATGCGTACGTCTGCATTTCTGTTACCTCGTACACTGAACCCACTCTCATCGGTAATTCGTAAGGAAGGGAACAATTGTCGAATTCTGTAAGAGATCGGAAAAAGATATCATAATACAAAACTCGATCGATTCCTTCAATTTTTATTTCCGTTTTTGAATTGTTATGCACTTTGTTGTAAATTTACTGTATTTCGCTTTTACAATTTTTACAGATCAGTCTACAAAGCCGAATATTAAACAAAAATTCGTCTCTTCCATTAAGGTTTTTAGTCGGTAAAAAGTGAATTAAAAATTTTCTTGAACATTACCGAAGTTACTGATTTCTTTGATACAATGACACAATGTATAAATTAAACACACAGTCTGGAAATGATTCATTCATTATTATTTATATTCATGTCCTTTACTTAACCCATTAAGGACCAAACAGTGCACTAATACGATATTGTGACGTAAGTTTTTATCACTCCCTGGCTGATTTCTTTTATTTATGTCAGAAAATAATTGAATGACAATTTATTTACTGCTTCCCTTACGAAATGATTAGAAATCACATCAAATGCAGAAATAAATCGGACCATAGTAAAATATAACGAAGCATTGGTTCTTATAATCAAGCGTTATGATAAAATATTATTTAATTTTATTTCGAGTAAATTTCACTTTTCGAAAACTTATATACTTTACTGTATGTTTTATCACAAAATTTGTTTGCCCCCCCCCTCTCAACTATTCAAACAAGGTAACACATAACATAACATAATTATGATCGGTAGTGTATATTATTAATAGCGAAGGCAGAAACAGATGTATTTTACAATGATATTTTCCCAACAGTAAAAACTGTGGCAGTTAATATATTAACACTTCATCCAAAGCATATCTCCGAATAATTCTACTACAATTCATCGACATATTCGCAAGACAAGAAAACAAATGGATTAACGTAACACATCAATTGTTCCGCACGTTTGTTCGAAGAGGAAGTGGCGACAACGTGCAGAAACGTCACTACATAAATTCGCGTTTCCACGTGGAAAGAGCCGCTGAAAACGGCCGGCGAAAAGGAGTAACACTGTCGGTGGTCGTGCAAAATCTTCGACAAACTGTGACAGGCTCGTAAAACGTGACCGTCTCTGTATCGCGAGGGAAGAGACTGTCGTACCGGGGAGTACCAATGAAAATTGTACGCGCGCTAGAGGTAACTGTACGCACGATCATATGGGCACAGGGGGGATACGTTTCCTGGATTCCACCGATAAAGTCTACATTAAAATCGTGATTTATTCCCCCCTGCGGTGCATCCCCTGACAGTCTGGTAATGGCGGGCGAGCTTAATAAAATCGGTACTTTTACCGTCTTCCTCGGCGAGCCGATAGTTCTCATGTACCACGTGACGCAACGTCGTTTCGCGTTTTAATGGAACACCTGGTGGTATGACGCGTAAAGCTGGAAATTAAGTTCTTAACGCTGGCGGCTTCCTGTTAACGGCGACATTTTAATGGAAATGACGCACGGTTGTCCAGATTCGGGCATACATTTCGAACGTTGTTTTACTTTACTTCCTGGTTCGTGGCGATAGTTCGCAATCGAATCCAATATTTTACAGGAAAAGTTATCCAGATATTAAATTAGTTTTGAGGAAAATAATGACTGGAAGTTATAGGAGTCGATCTTCTAAGAACTGACTGTGTCACTGTCTGGAAAATTCAGTGTCTTCAGAATTGTTTTTTGAATATTATCAGAATTTGTTTTGAAATACACGTAAATAGAATAATTGCGTAAGGGACAAAACACAGCAACACGAGGACCATGTCAATTCTTCGAGAGGTCTAGTTTACCAGTCTGATAGTCGTGTTGAACGAAGATCCCATGTTCGTGTATTTTGTTTCTTTTTCAATTATTCTATTTACAATTTAACCACAAAACCTCAACCCTCAAAGGCCACACTGGGTTACGGTAACTCAGTCCCGTCCAAAAATCACCTGGCATTTTTGCACGGTAAAGGGTGGGGAGTTAGGGCTGTGGTATTTTATAAAAAGATCTGTAACTAAATTACTTATATATTTAAGATCATAGGCAAAAAAATGTGGATTACGCCAACCCCCATGTGTAGTTAAATCGGTAGAAAAATATAGTGTGGTCTTTAAGGGTTGAAAGTCAAAAGAATGAAAAAATTTATAAAATCCATGCATACCTATTTTTAAAGCTGTTCATAACGAACCTTGACGCCACTTTTCTGGCCAATACTCAATTTCCCAGGCGAGTGACATTTTTTTCAGCTCTTAGGAGATCGAGTTCTACAACTTCCAATAATCTTTCCATAACTAATGTAACATTTGTGTAACTTCTCTTGTTACTGTCCCATCAACCATGATTCTGTAAATCTATTGTAAATGTTACTCGTGAAAGCCAACTACGTGCATTTTAATCGTCGTTAAATTTTGTCCTCTCAGCGAAAGGCACAGTATCGGAACTTCACCCAAGGCTATTGACCGCGGTGCTCACAGTCGCAGATACGCGTCGTACGATCGAACTTACTCGATAAAAGACAGCTGACGATCGGCTTCGCGTAAAACAACGTGGGCACGAAGAATAACGACAAGGCCGACGAGGTGGAGAATAACGTGGCGGCGATGTTGTACCACATCACTGTTCGTCGTTCCTCCAGCGACTGATACAGGCCTTGCTCCACATCCCTTTTCACGACTGCCAGCAGAGGTAACAGGAGATGCATGTTCAGCCGAAACATCACGGCCTTCAGTATTATCAAGATCGTTGGGAACGATAACGTGATATTTTGCAGCGACTTCTCAAGGTCGTGCATGTTCTGTAACAGCGTCACGATCTCCAGCCAAGTGAAGATCATGACGTACGTAATGTAGAAGAAAAACCGTACGTCGTTCCCATTATCCGGCCAGAGACCGGACAAGCTCAGAAGCCGTTTGCTCCACGAGAGCACGTTTTCGTCGTAGAACAGCTCTACATTCAACGATATTGGCTTCTTCGTCCCGACAGTCATGTCTGTCGTTTCGAGAGATTGCGAAATACTGGTATCTAAATTTTTCTTAAATACTGTAACATTTATTTCTCACAGATTCGTGAGCGTTACATTCTGGATTAGGTTCGTTAAATTCTCACGCCAGAGAGTTATAGATCAATAGGACCATATTCAGATCGTTGCATCTGGAATGTCTGACGTGATTTCTATTAAAGTGATAGAAATGATTTGTTATCACGAGAACCACTTACTTTTTGGAAAAGAAGTACATTATATTCTTTTTTTTAATTATGGTGGACTGGCAATGTGTATATATCAAGAAAATCTATGTTCCTTTTGTTGGGTTTGACAGGCAAAGTTTTCGTATCGATAGCTTTTCCTCGACTGTAACTCCGGAGGAAAGTTTGGTAACAAATTTTCTGGGCTCACAATCGATATTGGTTCCGTATTAATGGGTAATTACATAGTCGGTCAGAAGTTATCGCCCGGCGTCAGGAAGAGTCACGCGATCGCTGGAAATCGTGATCGCACGTATTGTCACTGCAATTTTGTCGCGAGAGAATCTGCACGCGTTGTAGTGTACTGTCGATAGTAATAGCAGTGCAACGGCTATGGATAAACTTAGGGGATGGAAACGTTCGGAAGCAATTATTTGCAACTTTTTGATCCTGAGAACTTCAGTTTTAGGGGCGGAAATTGAAGTTGCTGTTAGTTCGTGTTAATACTCAGAACATGATTCATTTGAAGACCAGCATGCAGACAGTAACGTTCTCATATTCCTTTGAAACTCGAAATTTTCAAATAATTTCGTAAATTTTATCTACGAAGCTGGTAAAGTATTACAGGGTTTTCTTAAATACCGTGTAGCATGCCTTACAATTAATTCACTCCTGATTTTTTTTCAATTTTCTTTCCAATAACTGCCTATTATTTTAGAAGTTTAATTTTTAATGTATTTCATGGACAGTTGGTTGATAGTGACTAATTTGAACAAAATTTTTTGCTTACATATTGTGTAATATACTACATCCTCAAGCTGTAAATTTAAAAATGTCGAGTGTAACTCAACACAGGAGTAGGAACTTTTTACTCCTGTGAATTCAAATTGAGAACGAGTCACACTGGACAACGGATCTCAAAAGGTTAATAATTTACATTTTTCTGTGTGTACAATACTTGTAACCCCTTGTGGAATAGAGCATTTATTAATAATATATCGACAACATCATATTCTGTAATCATAAGAAAATATTTCATTTAATACTTCCAGTGGTTTTGCTTTTTCCGAGAATTTCTTTTTGAAAGAATTAATATAAAGACTCCCACAAACCAACGCGATATATTCACAGCGATAGCGAATATTTCTCGGCGATAGATTTGCAACGGTTTAAAATGCATGGGGTCTTATGAGACTGTTCACATCAATACGAAAAATTTCCGCAAGAATTTATCTATAAAAAACTATCGCTGCGAATATTTTGCGTTGATTTGTGGGAGCCTTAAAGCTCGCAACCAGTAAAAGAATAAGTTATCTCTCAACTATAAAATTCACCAATAAAAACGACAATACCGATCGAATAATCGACTATTAACTCAATCTAAAATGACACATTGTTAAATGGAAACACATATTTCTCAGCCCATATCCATCTCTTCCGCCCACGTCGGCCTATCATCTTTTGCTTCTCTTGCTGCACGATATCCTCCCCAATGAGAGACGTCTATCTATATCATTCAGATCATCAAGATAAGAATAATCGATCGACGTTAATTCCGAATAGAATGCTGACCGGCAAATGGACAAGGAATCCTTCTCGCTCGAGGACGATGAAGAGCGCGTGTGCGAGTTTCCTGGGCTTGCTGCGTGCCGGGGCGGATGCAACCAGTGTCATGCAGTCGTTGCACCGAGTGCACGTGGGGAACATTGTTCATGCGAAGAAAGCACGAAACTCGACCGGTACGAGTGACGCGAGATCGCTTTTGAAGATCTTACCGGAGGAGCGAATATTACCGATCCGACATGAGATACAAGCGCATCGGCGTCATCGGAGCGTCTTTGATCGCCTCTGTGTGCTTGCTCTCGGGGCTCATGTATTATTTTAATCAAGGTAAAAATTCTTTATTCTCAATTCTTCACTGCAAACGTATGATAAAGCAAGGCATTAATGTATTATATGAACACCCGTTGTTTTTTTAAAGAAATTAAGCTTTTCTATGCAAATATATTTAATTTATTAAAACGTATATATACTGGAGGGAAATTTTTTAAGTTTAGACTCGAATAATGGTTTTTTAATATTTTCTCCGAAATATCTATGTACTAGAGGGTAATCGTTTTGGTTTGAAATTAAATAAAAATTGTTATCATACCATGAATATTCCTTCAAGAGGGAAGTTTTTGAAGATTGTGAGGTAGTCTGAATCTGTGATCGTGTGGGGTCGTGGCTTAAATTTAACAAAAAACGCTGTTCATTGTTTTTCACTCCGCATATTGAAAATGTGCTATGTCGAATATGGAATTAATATAAAATTCGATGTACCAAGAAATACTTCTTTATATTCTTTATTAACATTCAACCCTTGGTTAGATAAATATTAAGTTCAGTTGTCAATAACTTCCGTATTTCTTCGTAAATGAAATTAACTTTCAGATTTAAGATACTTTAAACCCAGCATTTACCTTCGTATTATTTTTATTATTGAAAATAACTACCTACAGGAGACTTCATTTACGATTCAGCACAAGGCATACGTATGTTTGCAAGATGGAGTTTTCAATGTTCGGGACAGGGGAGAAAGCAATCGACCAATTAGGCGAAAAGGGTTGCGTTATACATAATAGAGAAAACGAGCAAATTAAATTATTAATCAATTACTCCGTACACAGTACAGTACATCACGTCGTTTGCAAGTTCCCCCTGCAATTGAAATTATCATAAACAAAATTCTATCAATTTCCTCGATACTGTACCATTTTTAACTTAATTCTATCCTAACGAACCTTCATTCTTTCAACTAATTGGGTCAAGTGTATTCAACTTCCGCGACCTTGAAATAACAAAAGCTTTTTCTTTGATTCCGTCCTCGTAATTGCAGACACCTGTCCTGTGGGAACATTCCTTTGTCAGAACACTACTCAGTGTTTGCCTCAAAGAGACTGGTGCAACCAGGACATACAGTGTCCTTACCACGACGATGAAGAAAATTGCTGTAGGTTACAATTACACAATATCTGCTTAGACGTTCTCACATTGGTGAATAAATTATGCAGAAAAATTTATACAGGGTGTCGATAACATGTAATGACATTCTAAACTTGTGTTTATTAAAATCTTTATCGAAATATTAGGTGTACTAATAAGTAGTTCAATATTTCTTTTAATTATGAGGCAATACATTTTAAATTAAAAAGTATCTTCTGAATTTTTTACTAAGTAAAAATGGTGTAGGATATTGGGAAGGAGTTATGAATATAAAAGAAACAATACATATGCATAGATCCTTGAATTTCACAGAAACGTTACTGATTTCTTTGAGAAATAGCAGATTATTTACTAGTACACCTAATATTTAATCCTTAAACAGTCGACCATCTAACAGTGCTACGGGGTCAACAATGACCCATACAAAAATTTTCTTAGCATTTGTAGTCTTAAATGCCATCTTGTATTTTCAACATATTGAGAAGTAAAATGTGTTTAAGATTCATTATCTTATTTACATGCACCGAATACATAAAATATTACTTTTGCATGAAGGATATGTTTCAGACACATGTTTTATATAATGTACGCAGTGTTTATTATCGCCACATTGAAATATCAGGTCATTCCATAAATAATGTTGTTTTTTATTTTACACGATAACGAAATACTAAAGGCTCTAAGTGAAGCGGAATCCCATTTAACTATGGAAAAAATAACAGAATAGACTGGATTGTAGGAATAGTTCTGTGCATTGACATTTGAAACGAATCGGAAAGGTATCGAGACTTAGGAAAATCGGTTCCGCATGATCAGTCAGTGACGAACTGTATCCAACGAATGGCTATTTGTGTTTCACTGCAAGACCAGTCAAGCAGTCATCATTTCTTGGATTGTTGGTGGTGACGAAATGTAGATTTTACCAGTTATTCACTGTTACCTCTCATTCACATCACTAAACAATTTGTCCAGCGATAAAACATTTAACGATAGCGCGTCTTTAAAACCAGCTTCGAAGGAGTTTTTCTTAATTCAAAATATTCGATAATTTTTAAAAAAGAAATTCAGAAATTACCCGAGAGATCCGTAAATATTATAGAAAACAATCGTCGATATACCAATGTTGAAAAGTAAATGTAAGTATTAATATGTTGCACTGAAAGTTAACTTCAAGGAACGATATTACATTTGGAATAATCTGATACAAAGATGGGTCAGATGTGACCCTGTATCGATCGTGCGAGAGTTAATAACCAGGTTAATTTGTAAGAATAGTTACGATTCACCCTGTATTTTTTCTCCTCCTTTTGCTAAATATGTCTGGTCATTTTTAATGCAATAAATTTTTTTATAATCAAACTCTCACATTACGAACAGTTGATCCTCACGGAGTGCTGGACTGGTTCGGCAGCGACAGAGATTCCGTAAGGGAGGTCGTAAGGGAATTCGTTTGTGGTAAAATATATAAAATATACGATTTACTGACAGTAAAATTAAAGTATCGTAAAGTAACAGAACGATTACAGTAAATTGATAAATGCAAGAGAGGCATAAACAGGAACTTCGTGTTTTTTTTATAGATGCAACTGATACTCCCAGATGCAAATACGACATGTGCCGTGCGTCTTGTCAAGGATATTCCGAAATACCACGAAATCTGTCGTCTCAAACCAATTCAATGTACGAACGCAATATTTATGAGTGTCGAGTGTACATAGAACAGAAGTAATGGTTGCTTCCACAAATTTGGTCATTTGCACGAAACTATATTCGTCTTATTATTACATAATTTTGTTAGAAAGTTAGTACATACTAGTTCAGTTCAATTCACGTAATTTTTCATGACGAAAACTGCGTTACATAATTTAAGGAATAACAAAAGTACTGGTAAAATTATAACTTGTTTTAAATAACAAGTGACAACCATTACTTTTAAACGCACTTAATATTAACCTGAATATGTCCATCATTTTGCTATATGGACACTCAACTGGTGCCCGTATTTTATTATTCTTTTTTAAATTGCACAAAGCATTGATTAAAATTGAAATTAATTTGAAATGACTAAAAAGCATACTAAAGATTTATATGATTCCTCACGAAATATTATAAAGGATATTAAATAGAACAATGCTACGAAGAAAAAGGTATACTTAAAGGGAAACAATCTTTGGCAATCAGAATTTTCAGGAAAAAGTAGAGAATTTACTATGTTTATTTGCTTTTTTATTAGTTTCAATATTTGTAGCGCATATTTTTTATTCAATTCAATAAGTACTGTTTCGTGAAGTCTAAATCCTTCCCCTAAATCCTAAAGATCTTATGTGAAATCCAAGTTTCTAGAGCATGTTATCATTAGTTCCATTAATGTGAACATTTTTTAGAAATCTGTACGACAGTTCTATTCAACACGTGCAAACGGACGCCTTCGCGCAATACTCAGAATTACGTATATTGTAAGTTTCTAGTACTATATTTACAACTATGCATCATGTAATATAAACGTCGTAAACTGTTTAAGTAGAATTGCAGAAAGAAAAAGATCCTTTCTTCCAGATATCTGGATGGCACTGACATACACGAAATAGAGATTGGAGCTTTCGCAAACTTAACGAAATTATTTTGGCTGTAAGTATAATTGTTATGGAGTTTACTCGTTGTATTAGCATTATCTAATATTTGGTACTTCACCTGACATCGAAGTATTAATGATGAAGTTAGGTATAAACAGTATACAACAAAAATTATAATACTAACGTATACACGTAGATGTTTAGATAACAATAAAATCAGCAAGCTACTGCCAGGACACTTCACCGATTTAATTAATTTGGAGTCTTTAAAAGTAAATCAGAACAGAATTACCATAGCAGATCTGTCAGACCTGGAAGGATGCAGCAATTTAAGCTTCATGTAAGTCATTGAAACAACATACTTGTAAAAAGAATATATATTTCCAACATAGAAATTCTAGTTAAGAACAAAATAGGTAGTAAACCACCATTTTTTGTATAACATACAACGAACTGAAATGTTGAACCTCGATTATTTATTCCTGATTTAAAATACCTTAAACGAATTGTAGAAATTTAAGCGATAATCAACTGACATCGAAAACATTGAAACTACCGCACTTACCGGCTTTGCACGAGATGTAAGTTCTAAGCCCGTTGTTTTCGTAATTGTCGAATGATCAAATTTACTTTTAATTCGATAATCAATTTCTAGATTATTAGACAAGAACAAGTTCGTGACGATACCCGATACACTCTTCGTCGGATGCCCAGCGTTAAGATTATTGTACGTACGTAAGTAGATGTTGAAAATAGAGTTTAAGACATCGATATTAAACAAACGAATCATGTGAAATTATATACGCAGAAGTATGCAGAAGAATATGATAAAAACGATCGACGAAAATACGTTCCGAAATCTGGAGCAACTAGAGGAACTGTGAGTTACTATGGATCTTTATACAATACTTGTATTGAATTAACTCACTTCTTTACCATTTTTTGTTGCTTTAACAAGTTAAGCGCCATTTATATCCAAACGAATACGATATATTCTAGCCTAATGGGTCACCTGTAATAGTTTAGATACTGTGCCTTTTATTCATATTCGGCTGCTTCTATTCTTAAACAATTTTTACATAAAATTATATAAGGAAAGATTTTAAAGTGGCCCAGTTGTCCAGATGACCTTGGTATTGGCCAGCAATCTTTTTTATCCACATCGGTATAAATGAAATAACAGATTTAACTTTTATGGTACAAATTCATTCATACAAAAGTCTGATTTAGAACATACAACTGTCGAAAATGAAAATAATGCATGAACGATATAAATATAAAATTATTACTTTATGGCAATTGAAAGAACGTTAATAAAAAAAAAATACACAGTGGCCAAAAGCAATATAATTTTCTTTTACATGATGACGCTTAACGTGTTATTTGTGTATATTTTACGTCACGTCGACTGTTCGGTAGAAATTTTATTTCGATCATGATCACAGGTATCACAGGCGATGAACGTTTGTTGCAGCAATTTGGCGTTCAATAAAATAACGAGTCTCCCGCTGAATGTATTCCGGCCGTTGAAAAATCTAACGAGGCTGTAAGTACGCCCGCGACACAGAACATCCGCATAAATCGTAACGTTACACGTCTTAAGTCTGCGCGTGCTTGCGCCGTGTTTACTCGATATTTACCGTCGAACACGCCGTTAGAGACTCAAACGAAAGGAATGTCACGTATGGCGAAGTGTTAAAACTTTTATTTGTTCGGGCGACACGTACGAAAATAAGTGACCGTTTTGCATCGTCGGAATTATGTTAAACGATTCTGGGAAGGATTATTCGAGGAATGAAATTATTATTTACAATATTATTTGAAATACCATGAAAACATATTTTCGTTATGTTACAATAAACAAAATCACGAGTTATTAATTTGCTGGGAAATAAATGGCCGTTCGAACACGTTAATTATATTGTTTCCATCACAGCTGGGAAATATGTAAAAATTTGTTTAATTTCTTTTGAAGCGTGATGAAAATTAGACTTTTTAGATATTAAATGAAGGGTAGTAGGGAGAATTATAACACTGTACAGGTATGAATATTGATCACCTATTTATTACACTACTGTTCGTAAGTATTAGGACACCTGGTCTGTATGAAGAAAATGTGATTTTACTGGTAGTAATATAAACGTTATTTAGACGTTACATATTAGAACGTTTATTTTAGACTTTCAGCAGTTTTATAATGCCTTGTAATAATTATTGTCTATTCGATAAGTGTGCTAACACGTATGAGCGAGAGTGTTTGTCCTACAAATGCTATAAAATAATCCATTTAACTCGACATGTTACTATTAGTCATTATTCATATTTGTCATTCATGAAAATTCTATCAAGTGTGCTGATTTAAAATCGACTACTTAATCGTTAATGAAAATTTGTTGGAAATTACAGAGAGTTAGGGTACAACGAGCTTCACAATTTACCGATGGCTGTGTTGAGTCCATTGACGAGACTTCATTCTCTGTAAGTTATATTCATCCTGTTTATTAAGTCTGTCTAAATCATATCTATATTAATCTAATTTATAGAAGTCTGAGAGTTGTGAAAGCAAAAATTTCTTCATTAAATAATTTGTGTTTGATTCACACAAATATACTTATGTTGTTTTTATGTATAATATTTGTTATGAATGTTTAAGTGACCAATAAAAATTGTTACTATTATATATTCCAGCGATTTAGAAGACATAAGTTTGGATTCTTTTGAAAAAAACGCGTTCGACGTGTTTCAGCAGCTGGATTACGTGTAAGTAGATTCAGACATACCGTGTCAGACAAGTTTCTCTTGCATGAATTTCATTGTCGGTATTGTACTGAACGTGTGGTACACATATACAAGACGCATTTCTTTTCTATATAATTATGTAATCTTTAATCGATATATTGTTAGGTATTTCAAGAAATTTCACTATTGTGCGACATACGCGCCGAAGGCACAAAGATGTCGGCCTTCCAGTGATGGTAAGGCAGTTGCACTGAAATCTCTGAAACCATTATATTTTGCTCACTATATTGCATTTTATTATTCAATTTACTTAGATTTTCAATCACAAATTTGACTAGATCTTTTGTGTCTTTTCTATGATTGTGCTGTATTGCTTTAAACTTTATGTTCTCATATGAGACTTAATGCTTTTCTATTTTGAGCGTTACCAAATAATTACGATTTAGTATATACATGAACATTTAAAATTTTTATTTTGTTCATTTCTTAAGTCCTTTTACTAGACTGCGGATTTCATGCATTTGTCGCATACAGAATTGTTTAAAATTCAGTACGGTAAAAAGTTTAATGGATTTTACATTTACCATGGAACCTGATAGAATCTATAATAACATGAATATAATTGTAGTTGACTTCCTTTTCGATGAATTATTTCATAAAAATGTGTATTTGCATAAACTTCCACAGTCTATCTTTTACCTTTATTTAAAATACAGTGACGTATTTGAATGATATTTCCAGATATAATATTGAGCATATTTGATTATATTCAGCAATATAAGGAAACATTTAAATTGAATTGATACATTTCTTTCTCAGGCGTCTCATCCTTGTCTCATTTGCTGGATAAAACTTTATTACGAGCAGCCGTGTGGGTGATATCGTGCGTTACCTGTATGGGAAACGTGCTTGTTCTTTGGGGAAGATTCACGGCTAAGGATGAGAATCGGGTATTAACAATCATCATCAGAAACCTGGCCGGTTAGTTACAATAAACTATGACATTATCCTCTTATTCATTGCTTTTCATTCTGCAGAATAATTTATTTAAATTACGAATTTTTCGAGCAATCTTCACGTTCTCCAAATGTAGACTCACTAGATCATTATCTAAAACTTTACGAAACGTCCAAAAATATAAAATGTTTGCATCCCTGTTACAAAAACATATAAAACGTTTGCACACCCGCATACCCTGTTATCCCCTAATTAATATTTAAATGGTTCATTAATATTAAAATATTAATGTTAAAACATTAATAAACCGTTTAGCTTACGTGACTGATTTTTAACAAAGCTGGCGTCAATATTTTTTTGCAAACAATACATTCTTCTGCTTGTGAAATATCATGCATAAGTAGATACAAAACGGACCCGTTAAATTATCATAAAAACCGCGGGCTGTAAACTCTGAGCACCGTGAAAACGATTGATCGGCCGTATTCGGCTCTGATATCGTCGATCATAAATCATTGAATCGCATGGGCGTGGTATAGGAGTCGCATAATCCTTTTACAGTCTCTGACACGCTGATGGGAATCTATCTGTTCGTAATCGCTGTCGCGGACATGATATTCCGCGATAATTACAATCAGGTCGCCATATCCTGGATGTCCTCCTGGTTCTGCACCTCTCTAGGAGTTCTCGCTATGACGTCCTTGGAGGTACGTGATATTTTACACTGTTTTTAATTCTGTAACACTAGAACTGTCAGCATTGAATGTATACTAAACTGTATGATATAGTAATATAAAGAATCTCGTGTAACTGGTGGTACAATCGGGTAGAAGATAATTCTACGTGAAAACTAAGTCGAAAATATAGTATAAAATTTCTAATTTGAGACTAACCAGAAAATACTGATAAACTCGAAAAAAACGACTATAAAATGTATAAATTGTTGGTTAATACAAAATTTTGTTTTTGGTGAAAATGATTTTGAAAGTTTATTTTGTACACGTGTATTTAACCGGTTATCAATGCTCACGATAAGTAGAAACAGCAAGTAATAGACGGACATATTAAAGTCGTATTCAAGTATAGATATATGTATATGTTTCACGAATAATTAAATTTCATGTTCTTCAAAATCAAATTCCGCGTAGAAAACTTTATTCTGTATTTTTTATTTATTCTTGCTTGAATAACAATTTCATCATTCTTGCTGCAACCATGTTGACGTGGAAATATGTACACTATACTTATTGTCAACATATCAAAATTAGAAAAGTTTGGAAGGTAAAAACCGTTGAAATTTTCTTAAGTTTCACTGCCTTGGTAACAAATAAATACACAAATTTCTGTACACTTGATAATTATAGCAGAGTCAAATATAAATTAAATTTTCATCAACGGAATAAAACCGTTCACTGGATCAGGATCGATTTTCTCGCGTGGGATCGGTTACGCTGTTAATTTATTGAAATAGAACCGATCTGTCAAGGTTTCAGTATTGATCCTGTCGTTCATGTCGCTCGAGCGATATATGCTAATCGCGGCACCACTGAAAGGTCACCGTACCATGACACCGCAGACAGCATCCGCATCGATGATCGTCACATGGATCATCGGCGTTACTCTAGCACTCGTGCCAGGTTCGTCTCTAATAGCTCTTATTTGTTCACGAAGCACAAGCCACACGCCGTGGTCCTTGATAGAATCTAATAACCTGTCAAGATTTCCAGCTGCCTGTTAACTCATCGATTATGATAACGTAATACGAGACCACCGCATCATTATCTTCAATTTGCTCTGATTTGTGAATCGATTAAGTGTAATGACATTCATTCTTCTGTTTTTCGAAAATTAATCATTTCTAAGTTATAAACAACTTTGTTTCGGCTAAAGCGAAGGACTTTCTCACTTTGGGACCGATCGTACTATAGGGACACAATGGATTACCTTATAATTTTTTCTTTTTTCAATTACAGAAGGTTTTGTATCATTTTTATTAATATTTTACAATTTTTGTCATTGTTCCGTACGATAGCTCCCTTACGAAGCGAAAAAGTCAGTCGCTTTAACCGAAACAAAAATTGTTTACAATTAACGTTTATTAGGACTTTTTCCTTATTTGGCGAGTACTATTTACCGTAGAAGTTATGGATCCTTTCTTCATTTCACCATCAAATAGGTTGTGATAGAGCAACTGAAAATAAATCCAGTTCAAGATTTGCAGCACTGTTTCAATGTTCTTTTTCAAACTTCTGTTTTAAAATTCTGTGGGTACCCAAAGGAACTATCTTGAAAGGAATAATGTTGATCTGTAGATAACTTGACAATATGAATTTCTACACTTCTCGTACATAACCTCTCCTTAAAACAAACAAATATACGATTGTAAATTGCGTATATTAACAAAAATTAAAAATTATTTCAAAGTTATTCATTGGCGAAGCAGCACGAGATTTTACGGAGTGAACGGAATGTGTTTCCCCTTGCACATTGACGACCCATATTCAATTGGATGGGAATATTCAGCTTTCATTTTCTTGGGACTGAATCTTACCGGGTAAAGAACAATATTGACTTGTTTTATTTAATATTACATAATCGTTAAATTTTTCAATATTCTCGTCATTCTGTGTTACAGATTGATCACGATCGGTTACGTTTACGCAGGGATGTTCGTAAGCATTTGGAAAACGAGACACGCCTGTTCTTTGTCCGTGGGCGACTCTGAATTTGCTTTGAGATTCTTCTTGATTGTTTTAACAGACGCCGCGTGCTGGGCACCGATCATTATTCTGAAAATTAGAGCTCTGTTGAAGTATCCAATACCAGGTGAGAAATCAAGGTTTTACGAAATTCCGACTGCTATAAACATTTAAAGTATCAAAAGATATTGAATTTCTTCGAAATGTAAAAAGGCTGTCATTCACTTTCTGAATATGTATAAAAAAATATATATATACTTTCAACGAATTCAGTTCCTATTTTTAAGAGTTTAATTATCTAAAAGGGGACTATATTGAACTCTTAAAGATTTATTTTAATATTGTAAAGCAGAAAACCCTTTTTTTTTAGCGGATCTTCATGCCTGGGTCGTGGTGTTCATTCTTCCGGTCAATAGCGCAGTCAATCCGTTGCTTTATACATTTACCACCCCAAAATTTCGAGAGAGACTAAGCGACGGATGGTTTGGAAAGGTGCGTAATTATGTGACGAGAAAAAGTTCCGCCGAAGGTATGAATTTATTTTTATATTCTTATTGCATTTTTCTATATATTAAGTTCACCAATTAATAATCCTTTATTTTTTCACCAAAGCCAATGTTTCTTAGAGAAGTTGTACAAAACGTAAACTACTATTATTCATTATATTATTCATTGGTACCCTCTAATATTCTATTTCTATTTAATTGAAAATTAATAACATGTGAAAATTATATATAAGTACCATAACTTGTAAAATAATCAATTTTGGTTGTGTTTTTCGCTACAATTTGTTACAGACTCCCAACTATCCACAACGATAAGCAACAAGAACGTAATATTATCTCCAACAAGTAAAATACATAATAATAAGAAAACCCCTCTCGTACTTCCCTGTAACGGGAAAAATAAGTCTGAGAAACATAACCATATTTTATAGATCAAAATTACTTACTCAAATAATCAACTGTCGAGACATTCAGAGAAATTAATATCTTGACACATTGACTTCTTACGCTTTTTACTATTGTTCGTGTAACGCTTTGCTGTTGAAAATCCGAACCTTTACGAGTTGAATTGTATACTAATTGTTTTCTCGTATAATTTAACATTGCTGGTCTTCAGTGTCCATCACGGTAGTCAAAATTAAGGTAGACTTGACTTTTCATTTCTATTGAAATAAGTACTGAGTTTGAAAAGAAATTGTGAATCGCTCATTGGAATATCTACATAGTAGTAAATATAGTTAACAAAATTACTTTGCCTTTCTTCAAATTCACTAAACCCATTAGAGCGAAAAAGTGCCCTAGAAGAATCATTATTATACAGGGTTTGCCTGTAGACAAATTCTATAACAAATATATGTACACATCACATATTCGACTGTTAAAGGCTATCTGTTACTCAAACATAATATATGAGACCTGATACCTTGTTAGTTGACGTGTTCACGTGATAATGTTTGTAATAAATCAATTGTAACCTTCTAGACAATAAACATTCATTCCCTGTAGAGAAGAATTTGTTTCAAAGGTTCGATATTCATACAGGTTTAAAACATTTTTATATTGCATACTTCTCTAGCAGTTGTTGGACAAAACTAAACAATACACATTCAAAGTCGTCGGAATTAAAAACAGAACTTTCTGGTAAAATACTGATTAAATTAAATTTAGTTAGAACCTAGGAGATTCCAGAAGATTGACGGAACAGTTACTGTAAGAAATGCAATTTCCGAAGTTCCAATTTTATCGCAAAAAAAGTTTCTTTGGTTTCGTTAGAACTTTTATAGATGTTCGTCTGGCAGTCCACCTGTTAATTCGATTTTAGCTTAGATCAAATTCAGTTCAAGGAATATCGATGCAATAATTTATTGAACAGCGCACGAAGGTTAATCGGTCCGATAAACAGCGACGACATGTTTCGTGCAATTTTATCGAATCACTTTTGCAGAATTGATCGACGATTTTACGAGCTGCATCTCCAACGGAAAAGTCCCGAGCTTACTGTTCCGAGGATGCGCACCGGTTATATGTATACTCCTACGTAGAAGTCGTTCTCTAAACCGTATATAAATTACTCCTAACGAAGACAACGAACGCATTCGAAAAATTTATTGCATCCATTCTGATCTATCGATGAATCGTGTTCCACGATGCTGCACCGTTATCGGGGAACCCTCCAGGTCAGCTGCGTCTGTACGATTTTCTTATTGTACCATGTGAAATAACCGTTTCGATTTTCGTCAAATCGCTTGTTCGTTCTTTGTTGCTGTAGCATTAGAACGATACATGTGGAACGTTAAGTTCTTGTAGACCGAGAATAATAAGACATGTGATACTATATTTCCTTATTCGAGTACTATACTTCATTTTATACTATAATATACGTCATTACAGAATTAAACCAGATACTGTAAGAACATGTTTTTAAATTTACACCCTGATACAACAATAACGTTAACAAACATCGACATAATATACGACGAACAGGACCACGATCCCTTCTATCTCTTCATCACTGACAAATTATCGTAATTGAACGACCAACAAAGTTAATTGTTGCACTAGAAAGTTATGGCCAGCGATATGTTTGCTTCAGTGACCGCGATGTATAATAACTTATAACGAAGATACTTATGTGTTCGTGGCGAAGCACAAAGCAACACCAACACAAATTGAGATCGTAGCTGGATGAAGTCTTCGATGGAGGTACTTCGGTTTATCATCGTAATTAGCGTCGTAAATGTTAAACCGCAGCTTTTTCGAAGTGAAAGGAAGTTAATTTCACGATCTTGTACTTGCCACTTTGCCTTTGCTATCGAGGTATATTCAATTTTACAAGAATGACCAGGTATTCTGTATTAATTCAATGATAAATTAAACGTTATGTTCATTGTGACCGGTGGTCTAATTATGTAATTAGACAATGATATCGATAAGTTTATCGGTAGGATATTACAATCAATGTTTGTTTGCAGAGTTCACAGCGAATTATTCCACTTCTTCGAAATCAACTTCATAGGCGCACCCTATTAATTTATAAATTATTTTGAATTATATCAAGCATAAAACGTAGTATTGATATAAAAATGACAAACATGTTTAAAATGTGGGAACAAAAAATTCTAAGAGATGAAAATTAATTTTTGATTCATCGATCGACAGTGTTTTACAAAAGTATTTAGTAGTTACCAAAGTATCGATTTAAAGAAAAATATAACAAATCAAACAATTTAAAAATTTCAATTATGAAAGTATTGATCCTATAAAGATATAAAAATATAACAATTCAAACAATTAGAGAATCTGAATGATTAGTTGCTAATTACTAAAGTACTTCCTAAATACGTGAGAATCGATATTCGACTGTGTCACGTCGTAACATAAATTATTATACTGACAAAAAAAGAACTGCAGTTTACTATTCGCCGCCACGTGGGCCGGCTCTTATGCGATATAGTGTATAATTTATGGTAGATGGCCAACGGGAGGATCCCGTTAAGGGGCCTCGATACTTCCTTCGAGACAGCTCGCCTTTTCGGACTGATTTTTCTTCCGTCCTGCTACCACAACGTTTCCTTTCCGGATAAAACTGTAACAACTAATTCGTACGTAGTAATATATTACTAAAAAGTCCATTTTTGTAATTGTATGCTTACATTTCCTTCTTTAAAAAATGTTCATATCATTTGATGATTGTATTGTACTTTAAGAATTGAGTGTTAATGCGGTATTGGAAACATTTGTTCCATCACTCACAAATTTATATAGCACGTATAATTTTCATAGCAGTATGATTGATAAAATGATTCTGGTCAAAATAGTGAGCTACACATTTTTGCAATAAACATTTGGTTTAATTAATTTTCCGATAACTAGTAATAAAAGACGTGTAACTGATAACATGTTCGATATTCAAGTGATGGAATAACGATTTCCAGTAGTGTATAACAAGTCGAATATAATTACGTATTTCCTAATAAAAAAAATTCTAGAGGAAGTGTATATCGTTCAAAAAATTTATAGTCTTTGTTTCACAGTTCTACTTCACATTCGATAACAATCTTGATATTTCTGAATGAAGATTCATTACTTTATTGATTTAAATGTAATTTGATCCTTAGCTTACCAATAAATAATTTGCCACATAGATATTAAAAACCTTCTACATGGTACTTATTATAATAACAACAGAAATATTTCAATTGTATAACTATTTCTAAAGATCGCAACAAACAAGAATCTGTATTAAAAGTGTATTGTAATGTTAATTACGGAGTCTCATAACTAGACTGCAGGAGTTTATGCAAATCCACAATTTCAGATACTAAAATCGACCAGTTAAAAGTCGCTATAAATGCATAAAAATCCGCAATATTAATATTTTGTCATACCAATAATATTAATTACGTAGTGCTTTCGACTGATCTAACTTGAAAAAAGAAAAATTGAAATAATTTATTACTAAACCGAATATTACCTATAAAGTGTTCCACGTTTTTTTCATTCGAGCAATCACTTTAATACTTTCTGTTTTCTGTAGTCTGGTTCGTGCTCACGCCATTTCACCTCGAGTGTCGTAGACGCAAAAAGGTAGAACCGTAAAGAAATTGGTCGCCCTGGTCGCGTAACTCACTTCTCCATTCGCGAAAACGATTTCTCCCGTACGTTCGAGCAGAATCATTGAATCATCCCACGGACCTCGTGCACAGGTACACCGTACACGCGGTGGCTATTTCTCAACGTGATGGTTGCACATGCATCCTTTATTTTCCCAGGTACATGCACCGACGTACCCACCTACTGTGGATCAAGGACGACGCAATGCACGTTCACCTGCATGCTTATCCGCGATTTTAATACCCCCCCTTCGAAGATTTCGTGCGTCGATGTAACGAACTTTTATTGATTGGCCGCCGGCCTGAACACTTTCGCGTGACGCAACGAGAATTTAACGAGAGGATTATTACCGATAGCGATTAAAAACCGTGTCCCGCGCCGTTAAAAGATTTCAAGAGTCCGTGTAATTACACGGAAACTGATGTATCTTCGAGGTACAAGGAGGTCAGAATTGGTTTCTTACAAAATACATTTCGAATTTCTAAAATTCTTCATTTCTTTAATTCGATTCCTTTCCGTTATTAATGACATAATAATGGAAAAATTAACGAATAATAGTTAGCTTCTCAGCTTATATCGACTTAAGGCTATACTTTGCGTAACAAAATTCAGGGATGATAGAAACTGGTGATATGAAAAAATCAGAAAGAATACAGAAGCTATTTCGAATTTCTGAGCTTCCGTTTCCGTTATGGACGGAATAATAATGGAGAAATTACTATAAGAATAGTAGTTAGCTTTCTAACTTATGTGGATTTAATAGTTAACAGGTGAGTGCGGACCTGAGGAACATCATATAATTTTTAAATAAATGAGAAATAAATACCTATACATGCAGGGACTTTTGATGATCAGTAGCTGCCCATTATGGTTCAGTCTTTGTCCAGTCGTCGTGAAGTAATAACACATGGTGAGATTATTATAGTTATAGTTTCAAAACGTAACAGTTCTGGGGTTTAACGGACCCCACCTCAAAATTCTATTCAACGGAGTTTTTTTCGTTTAGTTTTTTATATAATATTATTTAGCTTGAAATGTTTATCTATTGCCAGTTCTATATTTTTAGAATATTTTATTTTTATTCAATAGTTACTTCAATCAATTCAATATATCTATTAAATTGATCTATATCCTTTTTTCTAAACAAATATAAAAAAATGTAACGTTTAAATAGAAAACAATTGGGGTATGTTAAACCCCGCCTTACCAGTTAGTAATAAGATGTCCATCTCACTATTCAAGGGTTAACCCTTAACTATGGACGACCCGCCTCAGAGATGAATAATTCGGCGACTACATTGCAACACTTTTAATAACA